AAAACACAGAACAGAAAAACACAAAACTTACATTTTATCAAGAATTTTTCATTATTTTCATGATGATAATGATGTTGTTGTTGTTGTTGATGATTGTTGTTGTTGTTATTATTATTATTATGTTTACCAAGATAACAAATTGGACCGTAAATCATGATTAACACCAACAAAGCAAAATTACAAAACTCAGGAAAAAAAACCCAAAAAGTCTATTCAAAAAAAAAAAAAAAAATTATGCAGATATTCTGTTGTTGAAATTCATTTTTTATTTCATTACAAACAAAGAGAAAAAATTTCCTAACAGAATCGGTCAATGGTAGAATTTCTTTCTTTCACCGAATACGCGGAATTCACACTTTTCAGCAGTTTTTGTTTTGTTTTGTTTTGTTTCATCACTCAAAACCCATTAAAATTGTTTGATGGACGAAAAAAAAATGTTTTTCTTTTGAACCAAATAAAAAAAATCGATTGAAAATCAATTGGAAAAAAAAATCCAAAGTAAATTTGATCAGATTGCCAAAACACAGAATTGCGAACAAACCAAGAAAGAGAGCGAAAAAACGACTATTTCACTGAACAAAGTCAATGGTGAAAATGAAAATGTTTTTTTTTCTTGCTTTCCTCGAATATCTGGAAACGGCAAACGGACACGATACCAAAAGCAACGAAACAAAAGCCAAAGAATATTCTGTTTCGGCAGTGAATACAATGGATTCTTGGTGAGGAAAAAAAATTCATGCGCAATTTTTTCTGTTCGAACCAAGAATATGGAACCAGGAATTTTTTTGGCGGCATTTTCATTTACTTTTTGTCAATTTAGACAATGGAATCAGGAAAACAACATCAAATCGATGATGATGATGACAATGAAGTGAATCAAAAAAAATAAAATGCAAATAAACTTTTCATCAAGGAACAACAAGAGAGAAAGTTCTCTGGAAATTTCCATAAAAATTTCGGGAATTTTTCTTTTTTCCCCCCCCACAGTAAGTAATCTGTTACTAATTATCATTTTCCCAAAAAACCAAGAAAATAAAAAATTCAAATTAATTGAATCTTGATTGAACATCTGATTTTTGTCAAAAAGGATTTCATTCATTCCATTCAATTTTCACAATGGAATTCATATTTTTTTTGCTTTATGATGCTAATTTGGTTGGCGAAAATGTCATAATCAGTTTGGTTGTCTAAATTTCATCGGAAAAAGCAAATTTTTCGTCTGCTGTTTGTTTGCATATAAAATTAACATCATCCAATGGAAATTCACCAGTTTTAGTTTTATTCATTTTTTTGGGTATAGAATTTCAATCAAGAGATTCTACAGAATCTGGCTTTTCAAATTCATCTGGATTCTCTCAAACATTCCCTCACCATGTGTGTGTGTGTGTTTTGAAACAGGCAAAACATTCTTGGTAATTAGATATTTGGGCTTGATTTTTGGTTTAACCGTCTGGTTGGTTGCCTGATTTTTTTTAACCCTTTTAAACCCTTGTTTTGGAAATTCAAACATACACACACTTACCATTTGAAAATTTTCCCGCCAAATTTGTTGTTGTTGTTTGAATTTGTATTGGTTTTGTTTGTATGATTGGTGTTGTTGTTGATGTTTGTCGAGGTAATATTGCCGGTCGTAATGGTTTTATTGTTGTTGTTGTT